CCACCTTATAAGAAAATAGCTAAACCTAATTTGGTTTTCACATCATCCATTCTTCCGTTGCTTAGAAAAAGAAAAAAAAAAAAATCCAAGATTCACCTTCTAGATTGATAACAATAATGAGAGGTTTTGTGTGTGTCCTAATTAGAAAGTAAGCCCTATTTCATTTATTTTTTTAAATATGTAGCATCATTATAAAAATTGGTGTTGTAATTGATGCAGGGGCATGCAACTTTTTTGCTTGACATGGACCAAATTTACCAAACGCAAGCATGAAACTTTTTTGACTAAAAAAAAATGGAGAAAAGAAACTGAATAAAATATCGCCGTTAATAATTTGAAAAAAATTAACAAATATCCTAATATTACATATTTTTGAAAAGTTTGGGATGAAAATAGCATGGTTTTAAATTTTGGGATATTTTAGATGGTGTGCCTCAAACCTTGGGATGAAAAGACCTATTCTCCCATTGTTAAAACTTCAAATCTTATCAATACCTTATGATTTAAATTTGAATTTAAATAAATTTTTTTGAATAATTATTTATAGAAAAAAAATAATTAATTAGAGTAATAATCATTTTTTCACTATTAATTATTGCTAGACGATTTTGAGTGAATTAGTATAATATATTTTCCTTTCAAAAAAAAAAAAAAACACAACTCACACGATGTGGAGAGTAAGTACTGGTTTTCTTAAAAAGGAGATTTAGAACTTAGATGTTCTACTAATTAATTCAGAACCTAGAGTTAATTAATTATAGTAGTGCCATGCACATAATCTTTTCCTTTGTTTCTGCCACTACCCATTTTTAGATGACAACAAAGCTATACATTAGGGCTAACTCCATTAATCTGTGCCATACAGTAGTACTTCCTTTCTCACAATTCAACATTTGACTTTGCAATTTACATCATTTTACGAGTATTCATAGGTGCACGGAATTTTGTAAAAATTTTTTACAAGAAACGTATTATAACCGTCAATACACAAGAAATGTTTTGTCATATGGTAATATTTTAACTTTTGGTTTGAAACAAATATAATAAGCAATTTTGTGGTATTTTATATGTATGGACACAAATACCTTTCGGTTAACTCACATGCATCTCACGTGACAAAATTGTTGACCGTTAATTTTTTTTTTTTGCCAAAATCTTAACGGAATAATAACACTATTTATGTTTCTGGTGTCATATAGTAATATTTTAACTTTTGGTACCGAACGAATATAGTTTGTGGTACTTTATGTATAATTAATTTTTTTTTATTTATTGTGAGGGAGATGTCTAAGATTGAATCACATCATTTTTTGTGAATTTCTTTGTCAAATTTTTCCTCTTATTTTACAATTACTTTAGGAATGGTTCCTCATGTATTAAGTCCTTATTTATATATATATATATATATATATATATATATATATATAGAGGAGCGACTACAGTCCACTTGACTGAATAATTCAGTTGACATTATTAATTGTCGGATGATTAAAACTAATGACAGCTATTAGATTAAAATTAGGTGCTATAACATTTAAGTACACCACACCACACCTGATTATATTGCTAATAATGAATTGTAAATCCTATTGTATTACCTACGGATAAAAACATCATAATTTTTACTCTGCGCCTCGAAGCCCTTTTTCTAGACTTTTTCTGTTTCTTTTTCTCCTAAGAAAAATCCTCAAGATTTCTTCTTTGGCAATGAAAAAACTTCAAAGTCAGGACGAAATGAACGAAGCAGTATACGATATAGCACCGCCAGCCTGCTTCATTTTCTTCTCCGCAATCTTGGAAATAAGCTTAGGCTTAACGATGATCGGCTGGTTTTCCGGCAACACACCTTTACAATAACGACAATGAGTGACATCGATCAATGGAACCTTGTCCTTGGTGGTTTTATCCTTGGAGGTCTTATTCTTGGATTCATGGGGGCCTAACAAAGACCAGCGAGAGTCCCTGTTCACAATTGTGCAATGGTAGCCATGGCAGAACCCAGTGCCTTGTGGAAGTTGTGGTTGTGTGACAGTTTCTAGGAGAAAACGTTCGAGGTGAATAGAATTTAATCCAAAGCCACTGCTGGCTGAATTTTGCATTACTCCCCGTAATTCATTTGTTACACATGATTTAATGGGGAGGAGAAACAAAAAAGATATGCAATACTCTAGAGGATAGATTTATTGGAGATTGGAGAGTAAAAAACGAGGCCGGCAAAGCCTAATAAAAAAATTCAAATCAGAAACAAATATCTAATTGTTTGAAGAAGAACAAGAGTAATAACAAAGGTCAAAAGAAACAAATGGTCAAAGGACTTCAGCCGCTTAAAAACCAGCATAAGATTCTCATCAACTTAGAGGAAGATGAGGGCTCAGGGCTGTCTTTTAGATGCTATAGGCCAGCTGATTTCGATGAAAGGCCATGAGAGGTTATTCACATTCATCAAATACAAAAGGGATGGGGATCTTCTTTTTTCCTGTGCTAAGGATCAAAACCCTACTGTTTAGATTGCTGACACGGTGAAAGGCTCACCGTTTGGTGCTGTGATGTCTTTAGTAACACAACCCCTGCTTCTTGTTTTTCTTTCAATTGGTGTTATATTTTTGCTTCTTTAGCGGACTTAATTTATGGCTCCGCATTTGGGGGGGGGGGAATTTGTTTTTTTGTTGTACAGTCTCCCGAAAAATTGACTTCTTTCATTTGCCAAAAATCTTTTTCCTGGAATAATAAGATTTGATTCATACTAAAAAGTGGGTAAATAAAGTAAATCTATCGTAGTGGTCCTTGGTAATCTTAACTTTGTGTACCAGAAAAAGTATCCGTGGTGGTGTAATTTTTCATCTTATGTTAAGTCTCTCGTTCATTGTTGCTTTGAAATTCGAATAACCAATGCTTGTTTGATTTGTAGGTACCTCGTCTTTGCTAATTAATTATTGGAAGTGCCGATCATTCAGAAAAGTTGTGGTCAATACAAACGGGGGCATGTCATTGTTCACCTTTAACTTTGAATCACCCTGTAGATCTTTGTTGAATTTTCAGTCGGAGATAAGTTTCCTGCCATAAGAATTGATCCATTTGTTGAGTTGCCATCTACCCTTCATGTCACATGGATTGCCTCGTATCCCACATCAACGACGATGAACATCATTCATTAGGCTAATGAACCTGCAAAACAGGGAATACTATGCAACAAGCTCACATGATGCACAATAGATCACCTTTTGTTCCCTCAAGCAGTAGTTACTGCTACAACTATGAGCCTCCTATTCATCATCCTTATGCCTATATGAGTACTGACAGCCTCCTCCTTACTACTACAACTATGGCCCCCCTGTTCATCAATCTGCAACTACTGGTATATTCATTGATAATGATCATTTTTAGTGGTGTTTAGCTTCGTTTTGACCTTTCGGGAAGTAGCTAATCCACTGTAGTTTATAGCAATGTGGACTGTACAAAAAATCTTCCTGGCCGTTAATATTAGATTCTTAAGAAAAATTACTGGATAAAGTTTTATTATGGTGTAACATACTCCATAATTACACATGATGCATCTCACTTTTATTGGATAGATTTTAACTAGATGGTCCAGTTAAAAACTTATGACTGGACCATAAAATTGGGTGTTCTGGCTCAATTAAAAAAATTCATTAACACGTGTCACAATTCTAGAATGGCTTAAAAAATATCCACTTTAAAAATATTATTATTATTACTATTACTCTGATAAAATTTGTCAACTTCTCTCAAATCTGTTAAAGATTTTTAATCTTAAAACAATATAATCTATGATCTGTTAAAGAGTTAACCTCCAAGTTATTTATTAAATTTAAAAGTTAGTTAAGTAATTGATGTCAATCCACCATCCTTCACCGGATCTAATTCAGATCCGATATTTGGAATCTTGAATTTTCCGTCCAACAACAGTCCAACTAATTCATATTCTTTGCCCTTTTGATATAGAGATATCTAATCCATAGATCAATTACATGTGGATCTTCTCATGTGTCATTTTACAAAGCTTCATCGCTTACATGTTTATCACTTTGATCTAAAATCACCCATCCTTTATCCTGGAAACTTCGTTCGTAATCCGTTCCTAAGTTTTTATAGTAGTGATATATATATATATATATATATATATATATATAAATACTAGAAAATGTATAAGAAATGATGTGATTTTAATCTTAATTATCCCCCAATCCTTATGCATAAAAGTCCAAATAGAAATTGTAAATAAATGAAGTAATTTAATCTACACATTTCTTTTTTCACTTTTTGTAATAAATTGTTCTTGATATGTATCATTCATCAATTTATTTATTTTTAATTACAGAACGAACACATTTCATCTCTAGTTCTAGTATTTTAAGGATGTTAAAGCCTACTCCCTCCGGTCCTTAATATAAGACATTTTGATTTGTCCTAAATTTAACCTAGTACGTATTTTTAATTGACAAAAAAACCTTAAATATTTTTCAAAACAATCAAGAGAATACGACGAATGTAAAAATATATATTTTAAGGTTTTTTCGTCAATTAAAAATGTGTAGTAGGTAAAACTTAAGACAAAATCAAAATGACTTATATTAAAAACCGGAGATTTGTTACATTATTTTTTGTTTATAGAGTTGGTCGAGATGAGATTTTATTGTAGGGAAAATGCCATGAACAGATGAACCTTTATCTTTAAGCACAAAACTAAAAATGATCAACGTTGGTAAAAATTAAAAATGCAAAAACTGCGTGCAGATTTTTACTTTGAAAATATCTCCACTATATAAATACACAATAAACAACAAGAAACACAATTGGCAACCAACGTATTCCGTACGTCCAAAAAAAGAAATTCTCTCATCCCAAGTGATTATTCAGTTTGAATTCTCATCTCTAATACAATTATTTTAGAACAGAAGTAAATAGTCAGTTTTGTTAATTAAACTAAAAACGGTACAACAAAACTGATTCATAGGGGGGAATTCAAACACAACACGGCTCTAACATTTTAGTGACAAACTTTTTAGTCGGACATCCCGAATCAAACGTTCAAGATTGCGAAACGATGAACCATCCTTCTCAATACTCTTCCTCGCCAATTTTGCTACCTCTTCTGCTCTTTTCAAGAATCCATCTTTCCTAACCACCATCAGATCCTTAATCATATTCTCAACAACTACTTTATCACACTTATCTTTCATGTCCAATCCAATCTTCCAAACCTCGTCGACGAATCGGCTGTTAATCTGCTGGTCGGCGAAAAACGGCCAACAGATCATCGGCACTCCTTCAACTACAGTTTCCAAAGTAGAATTCCATCCGCTGTGAGTCCAAAACCCCCCAACTGCCGGGTGACCCAATACTTCTTCCTGTGGAGCCCAACCCACCATGAATCCTCTTTCTTTTGTAGCCACCTCCAACTCTTCCCTGATTGACTTCTTGTTATTATTTCCTTCTTCATCACCATCATCATTTTTTTGGTCGATAATAATGGAATCAGGACGAATGACCCACAAGAATTTCACCCCGCTGTTAACCAAACCCTGCCATAATTCGATCAATTGCTCATTTTTCACCACGGCTATGCTCCCGAAACTCACGTACAACACTGATTTTGATGGCTGCTGATCCAGCCATTCAATGCATTTTCTGTCCTCTGCCCACAAGCTGTTTGAAGAAGATTTTGTTGTGGTGGATTTTGAGTTTTCTGTAAGTTTGGATTTGAGATGCGCGTGGAGCGGCCCTATGGTGTAAAGGTTCGGGCATTGAGTCCGAATCTGTGATAAGATTGGTCCTTCTAAATCATCAAACGTGTTGAGAATGAGTCCGTTGGTTTTAGTGGTTTGTCTGGTTTCCGTCGCAAGCATCTTGAAATCTGGGCCCTCAATGTCACGGAAAAAGCTCGGAAGATCACGCCGCCGGATATATCCCTCCATTCCCTTCACACTTGTTATCCCCAAATCCATCTCATTTTCTACATAAACACGAAAGATTCGGGTGGAGATAATTAGAAATGGTAGAATGGAGTCAATGGAACAGAGGAAACTGATTGTAACTTAGATAAAACTAGTGGATTGAGTAATAAAAAAGCATTTTACCTGAAAAGGGGATTTCTCCAGCTTCTGTTAGTTCAGGTGCGGAAAAGTAAGCCCAGAAAGCACAAGCACTAATTGTACGGAAGTAGATAATTGGAACACCAATCTGCAGAGCAATATCAATGACCATACTATATGCCCCATCAGCAATGATGGTTGTAATTGGGTTTTTGGTTTGGGCCCAATCTGATTTTGGAGTTAACAAATCTCTCAGAAACGGAACCGCCACCGAGTTGAGGGAATCGTACAACTTGTAGGCGGCGCCGGCGGTGCTCATCTCCCCGTCGAAAATCCCATCAGGAAGGCTAAGCAGGGAAAATCCCGGGTACTTGTTAAACCGGGATTCGATGTTGGCGTGAAGGAGGAGACGGCGGTGGATGTGTTGGGGTACTAGGTAAGTGACGGTGATGCCGCCGGAAAGACATAAAAACTCGGCCAGTTTCAGCATTGAATTTACATGACCCTGTAATGGAAAAGGGAAGATGAGTACGTGAGGAGGATCCGGGATCTGTTTATCAGCTTCACCCATCAACGCCATTGGATTTGCAGAGTAACAGTTGATGGAATTGATGACTCTGCGCTCTACTGATTTTGCTGGAAATGAAGATTTATTTTTATGTTTGCTGTTGCTGTTCCTTCTGCAGCTACGCCGGCAATAATAATAATAATAATATAACAGGACAGACTTTGTAAAATATTGTCGGAAACGAGACACATGTGGCTGGATGGAATTGATTGACCAAAAAAGCCAAAGAAAAATAGGAGAGGATTTTTCTAGCCACAATTTTTAATTCTTTCAGTCACAAATTTTCAATTTTAATCATTTTGTCCCTGTCATTTGATCAAACCAAATTGAAGGAGAGAGAAAGAGGGAGATGGGGAGAGAGAGAGAGTAAGCCACTCGGACCGAACCAGGCAAGTCATCCGGTCCGATTCACGTGAAAACAGACAAATTATTAATTTTTATTTTAATATTAGTTTATTCGCAGTATCGTTGCATATTGAATACCTCGTACTTTAAATATTATTAATAATATTTATACTTTAGTGCTTAAACTCTCAATTTTATATTTACTTGAAAATAAACAAGTAATTAGTTTTTACTTGAAAACAAATTTAAGATTATTCGTTAAGCTAATTTATTTGAATTGATATTAAAATATAAAATTTTTCTTCAATGATTATTTTTTAAGATAATTTTTAGTTAAAAATAATAATCATATATTTAACCATATCGGACCGAACCGAGACCGACCGTACAATGAAACCGTCCCGAGTTAATCCGGGACGGGTGGCCACCCGCCCACTTGTTCGCCCGAATGGGTTCATTGCCCGTCCCAAGTTAACTCGGGACGGTTTCGGTCGACCGACCGTGCAATGAAACCGTACCGAGTTAACTGGGGACGGGTGAACCACCTGAACCTGTTCGGGACAAACAAGTGGGCGGGCGGTCCACCCGTCCCGGGTTAACTCGGGAGGGTTTCATTGCACGGTCGGTCAGTTTTTTAATTTTTAGTTTTCAATTTTTTTTTTTAGTTTTCTCTCTAGTCAAGTTATTGATTTGAAAAAATGACAGAGGTAAAATGGTTCAAATTAAAAATTTGTGGATGAAAGAACTAAAGTTAGTGACTTGAAAAACTAATACACATAAAATATTTGTACCCACGCTAACTTTAAAAATAAAAAAATAAAAAAATAGTACTCCATTAAGTTTCGAGATTTGCAGACGAAACTAATTTGTTTTTTTTTTATTTTTTTTATTTTCAGACAGAGGAAGCACTTTCTTATTCTTTACTTCTCTTCTAATTTTTATTGACTGCTAATTTACCTCGGAACACATCATAACGTATTACCTCGAATATTGTAATTACCTCGAATATTGTAGTTAGAGTTTCATAATTATCCTCGAATGTTGTTAAAGTTACTTCGGAATATAATTTTTCAATGTATATAATTTTTATATAGTGGACAGTGCTATTTGATCAAGATTTATCCGTTAACCAAACACACAATCGAGTTATCTTTGTGTATTAATTAGAGTAAAAAGTAATTTTGAAAGAAAAATATAATTTCCATTGGAGAACTAGCAATAAGATAAAAGAAGATCATTATAATTGCTAGTTTTGTTCAATAAGACAGAATATGCCGCCTAGTTGTACAATAAGATTGAATTTGCTGCCAACTCCATGAGAAGCCAACAATTTCTTGATATTTTAGTTCTTAAGTTTTACATTCATATCATACATCATATTCCTAGGGATGAATCTCCGGAGCACAATCCAGAAAAACAAACACTGGATGCTCCAAGATGCGTTTTGCTAGCATGGTGGATTATTGACACAGCTATTTCTTCTGTCCCAAAGTGATTGTCTTATTTGGATTTACTTATAGTAAAATTTGTACTATAAATGAAAATCCAACCTGGACAATCATTCCAGAGTGGAGGGAATATAACAATTACTGCTGGCTAATCACTATCTTCTTCTGTGCCTGCAGCTCCAAAAGCATGGTTAAAGCAGCAGAGTCAGATGAAGTCTTCTTGTCAGGTTGAGGCTTTCCCGAGACTACAATAGTGCCCGAGTTGGGAATGATCAAGGTAATCTTCGACTCGTAACTATTGAAGCCGGTCCTTTGCTCAGATCCTTCCCCAAATACAACTGCAGTTCTGTGTAAGGAAGTACTCGTCAGGTCTGAACTCAAACATAAATGCATCGGAAGACACGGCTGCAAACGTATTGGAAAATAGATGGAAAATATATTTTTTTGCAAAAATGCATGAACTAGGCAAACACATTTGGAAGAATAGAAACCAAACAGTCTAACGCAACTGGCTGACAAACCTTGATTTTTGCTCAGTACAATCAAAAGTAGGCATTGGCCACTGCTGTCTCTTGCAAAGTGCAAAAAGGGAGTTCCTTGGTCCTCCTTTTTTCATGTCAACCGGGGGAATCACTGCCAAGAAAGAGACAAAACCAGATGACAAAGTTACAAAAAATAAAACAGACCACAGTTCAGTAGAAGGAACTGCATCAACGTTTAACAAAACTATGACTTCCGCTTTCTATGACATACTGTGCCTCTGCTTAATTCTTACTAATGACTTCTGATTCTTCTGCTTCCCAACTTGACTGGAGGTTGTAGCTAGCTATATACCATAAATGTTTTAACCATATTCTTCGTAGAGGATGTACGCGCATAATTCTTGACTTCTATACTTGTTATAAACCTATAAGTAACCATCATTCCACAAAACTACCATTGACAGTACCTGGTATATCCTTTGAATCGGTGGTACTCAAGGGATTTCTATCTGGCTCCTCCGGTAAATTACTTTTCTTCTGCCTTTTACAAGGACCCTGCGTAGGTTCAGTATTCACATGATCACATACATCACCACCAGATCTTAGAGAATATGGATCACAAACATCTTCAGTCCCGTCTTTTGACCTTTTGGAGTTTGAAATTCCTCTTTCCTGACAGAAAAGGAGAGCATTAAGGCATATATGAAGCAAATAATTCCTGTAATAGTTTAGATGAGCTAATCCCCAAGCAGTTTCAATACACTATCACTTAAGTACGAAATTACAAAATATTTTCCCCAAAACAGTGGGAAGATATCAAGTTTTCAATAACTAAACTCTTTTAACCTAGAAGTTTGAAAGAAGTAGGTAGAACAAAGGAACAATAGCAGAAGTCTTATTATTGACCTCAATAAACATCAACAGGCTCTCCAATTCTGTGATAGGAAAAAAGAAACTGGAAACTATAACACATTACCAAAGCATATGAAGATAAGCAATAGGTTTGAAACAAACATACCTCTAATCGTTTCAACAGATGAAGTGCTGCTTGACCCCTACCAGCTTTTTTGCTCTTTCCAGAACCTTTTTCAACTAACAGAATATCTTCCAGCTGTAAACTCAGTTCTGCCTTCACTTCATCTCCTTTTATAATATATTTTTCTTTTAAGAAGTAACCAAGTGAGGAACACAATTCAATCAGTTCACGAAGTGGGCGTAGCTCAAGCTTATCAGGAGTGACAATTGGTGATAGCAAGGGTTCAAAGATCCTCCAGACTTCATCCAGATTGAGATTGGTGTCAATCAGTATTGCCCCAGCAATACTTTCCATCAAGTCCCCCAGCACCTAACGAGGTACAAAACGACACATGAGCACACACCAACTAGGGTAAAAGAAATGAAATAATATCATCTTCTATGTTATAAAATACACAATGTGTATACTGGTTATTAACAAATATGAAAATTTATAGAGACACAAAAATAACCACCATTGAATTCGAACTATGAGAAAATGAAATGGAAGTAACTGGGAATTGACCTTGGGAGCATCTGTAACTTGGACTGGCTTTGTGCTGTCGCATGACTCAGAAACAGACTTTACATATGCCGATATTTGGTCCTCAAGGTGTCCTGAGCAATGTTGAAGATGAATGTACAGTTTTTTCTTAACAGCTGCGAGAGCAAAACTATCATTGTTGACAGAGGCAGAGCGCAAGTCCGTCAATTCCCCAGGATCAATTTCCGAGTGATTATGATAAAGGTGGCGTGTAACAAGTACATCCAAAACTGAATCACCAAGAAACTCTAGCCTCTGTTGGATTAAAGAAGAGGGTATATGGTCATACGAAAATCAAAATAAAAGCTAAAAGAAAATGGTTCAATGATAGATTCCATAAATTATATCTTTGTCAAAAGAAAAGGAAAATGACGGGATGATAGAGCCCATAAACTATTTCTTTTCAAAAGAAAAATCCAACCGTGAGATAACTGCTACCATATCATCAGCTATGTAACTAAATTCAACTCAGAACCTAATAGTAAGGAAAGGTAGATATTTCTGACCCATAGATTGTGGGTTAAAGTTACCTGGTAACAGAAGCTAGCATCTTGCTCTTGTTCAGTAGCATGAGTTATTGCCTCAAGTAATATTCCCTTGACTCTGAATTCATATCCAAGCTTCCCCTCTAAGATCTCTATGTCTTTGAACTTAGGAACATACAAATGAAGAGATGCAATCTCAATGGCTTCCTGTACTAATGCAGGGTCAGTTGCAGCATCAATACCAATCCATTTCATCAAATCAAGGGCAGCAATCAATCCACCACCAACATAGCATGCCCCTATCAACGCTTCGACACAATCAGAAATTGTTTTTGATCCCATCCACCTATGACCTCTGTCACATGACTTGCCAACTTTAACTTTCATGTCTTCAGTAACAAATTTTTCATCTAGAGGAACTTCCACAGAATCCACTCCATGCACACAAGCACAAGGCCACAACGAACGCTGTCCAGGAGCCGTCCATCGACGTGGTTCAAATGCACCATCCCTTATATAACCCTATAAAAGAAATGCAACGTATTGAGGCTAACGTTAAAGATATGTATTTAAAGAATGAAGAGTATTGCAACGGCCCAAAAAATGATGGGCATGTGCTTCGGAAACTTTTAAATGGCCTGTCAACAAGAATAGAAAACGTAGAATCATTCACTCAAATTAAAAGGGGAAGGGGGGAAACTTAATAAAGAATTGGAAAGAGCTGCTGAAAAGAACATGAATAATTCAAACTCAAATGAAATTGTATTTTAAGCACAGCTTATTGCTAAAATGCTGCCCTTCCAATATCTGTTTATGTTTTCCCACAAAGAGGATAGAGGAAGTGGGGAAGTAGGAAGGTTGCAACGGGAAAGATAGTGACTTTCCTTGTCTATGTTCTCTATAAACTCTTGCAATCAGCAGGATTAAACATCAGTTTGTAAAAGTAAAATTTAGAGATTGTCCCATTCTGACATGTCCAGCACACTATATTTATGTCTGTTCCCGGAACAGACAATGCTCATCAGAAAAGCAACAGAAGTACAACAAAGCTCAGTCATCTCTACTATAACAGCAAGTATGAATGTTGAAAAAATTTTCAAACCTCTACTGTACGATAGGAGATCCTCTGCACAGAATGATCCAAATTACAACAGAAGCACCTCATTGGCATCAAGAACCTTAATTAGTAGGGATAACTAGATTGATTTGCCCATATGGGAATAGGGAAAAGCAGATTATTATATGCATAAGATGATTTGCCCATAGCATCATATGCTTCTGGAAGTGGTTGCTCTTTGGCTGTCCATGATTAGCTCAACATGTTACAAAAGGTTAAGGTCCATCATTATTGCTGCGGTTTCATGGTTAATAAAACTAATGCCATAGGCTTGAAAACTGCAGAAATTTAACTTAGATTCAAATATCATCTTTGAGCTTTTTCCGAGTTATAGTTTTCCATAGTCCATTTCACATTCAAATCATTAGGGTTCATTGATTTTAAATCTACACGATTGACGTTCAACGGTTAACATGTTTAAAAATATTGAGAATTTGTAATTTAACCCCCCCAAAAAAAAAAAAGAAAGGATTGAGCATAAGCCAAGGAGTCAAATTGCCATATAGTTCAACAGAGAAGCAGATTAGGAGTCTATGAATAAAAATAATATTTAAGAAGTTCTACTTGCCATTAAATGAAAATCAAATGACTGATGAGAAGAAAACATAAGACCAGAACATCCTTTTTTACGAGCATGTGTGAAGATAGAGCGAACTGAGATGAAGACGGTATAATATTTGCGTTACCTGTAATTTGCGCTGTGTACCCAATTGATGTAGGGCTGAATTACAAATTATCCGCTGACGTTCAGAAGATAACTGTCCCTCATGCTTTTTGGGATACTTAAGAAACAGGTGGCAGCTCACAGCATATTTCAGCACTGAATCTCCTAGCAACTCTAAGCGCTCCATGGAGAATATTTCACTACATTTCAAGGTCGTGAGAGCCTCCAAAATCTGGTTAAGAAAAAAACACCAAATGAGGAAATAGAACCAAGATGAAATTAATATTGATGAACAAAACAGAAACACTCACCAATGAACTTGAAATTCGCAAGTTGTCAGAACAAAGAACAAGGTCCTTCCGGAGCTGGCTTGCCAGCATTAGAGACTCCAATCGGTGCATTAGTGACGGTAGCAGATAAAATGATTTTAAGACAGATGTACCAATATCTATGCCAATCAGAAGTTCGGGTGGCATGTAAGCATAATATCGCGGCTTTGCAGTGACCACCCTATTGTCGTTTGGCGACATCTTTCCATTCGTAATGTCTACTTATCCAGAATTCACACAAAATCAGGCGAATGTAACAAGTAACAAACAATTTGTAAAATTCTTAAAGATAGAATTGACTTAGGTACACATAACCAAAACCAGGTGATAGTAACAATTTGTAAAGTTACGAGGAGGTGATATATGTGAGAGATCCAAAACAAATGATACTAACAACTGGTAAAGGTTTTTATAACCAGGCGATATTTTTCAAACAAAAACCCACTCCAAAAAGGACTTTTTAGATTAAGTAATTCACAGAGGTTAATATTGAAAAAGAGAGCAATTTCTTGCTTACTCAGAATAAGAACATGCATCAATATTAAGGGTCACCAATTCTCACTTGTGCAGGGCCCTAGGGAGGGTCGAGCTTTTAAGGCTTAATATATGCAATCGTATATGATATATTTATGTAAAAGGCTGTTTTCATGATCTAAACCCACAACCTCAGGTGAATAGGATGCATCTAAATTAGTAATTTACTTTTGGATATGTTGCACAAGCCAAACACACATTAAAGGGGTATCATGACATACGTTCATTTCTAAAATCCACTAAAAGGTTGTGTGCATTATGGCTTTGCTTGAGCAGCAACAAAGGCTGTCCTGGATGAACCAACATAATCCCGTACCTGAGCATGAGAATAATAATAAAATCAAGTTACTCTCCCAATTAAAGAGAGAAAAGATAAAGCAGAAGGTTAGTAGACCACAAATTGAATTCTTAAAATTTCAAAAGGGATTACTTTTTACTGAAGTAGTCAGTATAAGACGAATAACTTGGTGACTCTGACTCAGAACTTCCATCAAACGGGCTTTCTGCTGATGAATTCTCCACAGCTTCCATGATGGAATATATCCTACCAGTATGGATGGAAACAACCACCATATTTGCCAGCTCATTCAAGCAAACTGATTTATTGGCCAGATGGATGATGTTTGTGCTTTCTACGTTAAATCCATCTGGCTCAGGACGATCAATTAACAGCATTTTCCTTCGACTTTCAGAAAGCTCAGCATTCAGCCAAGCATGTTTCTTCAAAAATGCCACCACAGCAACACAGGATTCAATTCCTCTCCAATTGATCTCCCAAGAATTAGTACAACTGGTTGATGCCTCCAGTGGCAACAAGATATACATTCTTGACGGGTCCCATAATGTTTCGTGAGTCTCAAACAGAAGCTTCCTTTCTCCAGATGTATTGACAAATAATTTACCAAATAGGCCATTAAAAAAGAATTCTTGAAAGCATTTGGCTTTTCTCACCTGGTCAGAAATAGCAAACTCTTATCATGCATGTTAGAAATACAACATTATTTCCTTGCTACACCAAATGGATTTTTGTGCCGCAAAAAAAAAACAAATAACAGTTTTGGCAAAAAGGATTTTGACCTGTTCACCATCCAGAAACATTTGCCCACATGCAGAAACAGAAGACTTGACAAACTTTGAAAGTAGATAGAGATCAACTTGGATATTTCCTACATCATCATCAAGTTTTGACTGGAGCAGAAGGACAAAGCTGGAATAACGGTGCTCTTCGACATTACAGATGAAATCCATTTTATACGCTTGAAATGAGAACCCATCAACATTGTCACCCCATGTCCCAGACAGCAAATGGATACGGGTTGTCCCATGCAACTCTTTCCTCTTTGTTGTTCCTGAGAATAGAAGAAATCCATACATATTCACTATCTGTAAAAGCTCCAAAGCAAGATCTGTAAGCTAAGACTTGCTGTCTGACTCCGCCCAATCTCCTGTGCCGGAATAGGATGGAGTCATTGATGTAAGTTCATTGGAGATCTGAGAGACATCTTTGCTTTGAATTTGTTCTTTTAAAAAATAATAATAAATAGTAATCTGCTTTGATGTGAACGTGTTACACGCACTATTCTTCCCCATGTTAGTAATTTTCTACCAGATAGATGCCAAATGGGAGAAAATCAAAATTCTCTGATTTTCAAAGATAATCCTAGTTGCACCTGAAGATTGAAAGCATTCACTATAGTATTTGAAACTATGCTATCTTTAGAAAATAGGGCACTGGTAATATAAGTACTTCATATAATAAAGTTCACTAGGGTTTCTTCCAGATCTGTTCCATCAAGGCAGGAGCAGTTTTCAACTGAAAAGCAAATGGTAATAATTACTAAATGTCACAAAAAGGTCTTAGTACTCCACTAGTAAAGTCCATGTTTATACAATAAATTACCCAAAATTAGGCAAATGCAATCCCCCAAAACATAATTCTTTGATTTGTCTATATTTAGGCCTTCTAAGGGAAAACTTTGTAGGGAAAGAAGAAAATCAACAATAATTTTTTTGTAGTCTATAGGCATAACTATCACGGTCAAATGTCTAACCTTAAATGTTGCAGTTCCAAAACACTAGTTTGATTCTTGGACACAAGGAGACACAATATTTTGCTTGGATGAAACATAATTATTTTTGATAGTTAAATAAAGAAATTAACAATAAAAATCAGAGATGTGTTATTTACAACAATTTCAACATTCCAACTGTGAGGAAACAATTTATTTTTAATGTCATACAAGTAATATCACACGGCAAAGATGACATGCACAGAAGAGGTCCAAAAGATCCATTAAGGACAAAATGCAGTATTTGCTAAATGCCAAGTGTCAAGTTGGAAGGGGAGCGCCTTAGTGCAGTGATAAGAGCTGTTGCCATGTGACCATTGATGTCACGGATTCAAGTTGGAAAAGCATCCTATTATAGTAAAAAGGCTGCAAACTTTAAACTCACTCCCAGACTCCGCTTCAAACACCCGTTTTTCATAGATGCAGTTTAATTTCACAAGTAAACCTCACCTGCCCCTGCAGACACTGTTTTACTGGTTGGACAGGGAACAGCTTTTGAAGCTTCTTCACTAGGAGTAAGATAGTCAGTGAGAGCCCCAACTTGATGCAACCTTTTACATGCTTCCAAGCACACAAGCTGTTTGGATAAATATGAACCGCTGGTTGTAGGACCAACTACGGTTTGCAAGGCTGCATTTGGAGGTAATGTCAATTTGCATCGATAATATTGTCCCTCCAGTAAGAATTGATATGTCGGTTTTGGAGTGAAAATCCTGGAGAAAGTATATTCAAGTCAGGTTAACTTTTGCTGCTCGCACAAATTTTCATCTACTAATCTTTAGTGTAAAATTTAATGAAATAGCAAGTATACTTGTCTCGTGGAAGTTTTTCACAGTAGTTCTCTAGGAAACTAACACTTGAATCAGCAGAGACTGACACTCCAGTTGCCTCCACACGATATACCTCCATCTCCTTGGTAGTATGAGCTCTTACCAAACCAAAATCAGTGAGTGTAACAGTACTTGTCACTGAGAAATGATTCCTCGTATCCTTCACAAAAGGGGGAAAAAAAGTAAAAAAAAAACCACACACACACACACACACACAGCAACAACAACAGCAACAACCAGATTAAAGTTATTAGAGCTGTTACACAAAAAAACATCCCTAAACTCATCCAAACTTGCACATATCAAAGGTACAAGGTCTTCCGAGATACTATTTGCTTTTCATAAGAAAGATTCCAACAATATTATCTCCAATAATGCAACAGGAGGGTCATAACTAAATAAAATGCACAATTGTTACCTTTGAAGGTGACGATATAAATTTTTTCTTCAATTTTGATGTTGGTGAGACTGGTGACTCGTAAAGGCAAACCTCTTTAACAGAAGGAACATAAGATTCCAACTCGACCTTGTTTTCAGCAGTATAAATCTGTATGGGGAAAAAAAAAAAAGATAATTTAGCACTGACCGTGAAAGACTATTGTAGGATCAATATATATAATTACACTTACCCGGGAATCCAAAAGATTTTCAAGATCTGATATTTTCCGCTTACAGTCTCGGGCAGGAGTGACACCTGTGGTAATTTAGAATACTAAAATAAGTTCCCAGTAAAAAACTGCAGAAAAAGGATAATATACATGTTGAAATACATCCCTCCGGAAAACAAAGTAACACAATGCAAGAGCAAAATATCCAATCATTAATCAAAAAATAATAATAATAATAATCTGCCAAGGAAAAAATGCAGAAAGTCAATAGCTTGACTGTACCCGGTAAAATATATGAGAGGCTTATACTTTTAACTATGTAAATAGGTACAAGATGAACAGTTTTCACTAAGCTTGTGTGCCGCCTTGCTTTGGTTCCGGTAGCTTACAAAGAACTTCACCTCAATTTCTAAAGCCAGCTTAGCTATCTTTGATTTTACGATTAAAGAAAATTAATCTTTAAACTGTGAATGGAAAAATATTCAAACGAAAAAGTTGATGGGAGAAGGGACTGAATCGAACTACAAGAACAAGAAGAACAACCATAGCCGTGGGGACTTAAAGGCATAGTCTTTGAAAGTTAAAAAGCTAATGTATTAATCAAATATTCATAACCACTACTGCACAACTTCTCTATTTATAGAGGTGTCTCAATTACTCCTTAAGCTACTATGGTTGCTAATTGCCTAAACTTATAGGCCAAAAACTATAATGATGACAGGAAAACAAACTAAAAGAAAACCTATTTAAGAAGATTCTTGCTATCGGAGACTTTCCATAAAACCTGACATGAAGTTACCTATACTTCTGGAACCTTCCCGCATAAACAATTCATGCAGTAAAGTTTCTCTTTAGGAAAATCAAGCCCAGCTCATGAAGAAAGACTCATAAATTATATATGCAAAGTTCTTAATAGACTGCCTCAAGTACTTCCGAATCCAAGTTCAAAACACAAAGCTGACTCTTGTGAAGAAGAAAAAGAAAGGAAAAAAAAAAGAAAAGAGATTTTGAGAGCATAAACTTGCCAAGACAAGTCATGAAGAACAGAAAGACACAACCGGCGATCCCAGAATAGAACTCAATTATCATGAGTTCATAAACTCAAGTTACAGCACTGACAACCAAAGGGTTCAATAGTTCTCCACCTTCACAACAGAAAAACTGATACAACTAATGCTGTATAAGCAGATCAGATCAACTACATATTATTAAAAAGGATGCCATGGTAACACAACACAAGAAAAGAGAGTTCATTCTTTCTCAAAAGACAAAAGATAGCAATCAGGGAATATCAGGTGTGATGCTTTCTACCTGTCCTATTTATTGGTGATGCAGTTATTCCAAACACTATTGGCTTGATTCTGCATTTGTCATGATAGAAGTCCTTCAAAAGAGAAGCAAGGAGGTATCAAATTTCTTGAGAGAATTATTCCACAAAATGCAGACAGATATCACGGTTAATATATTTCACTGATCATTATGTTAGCCTTTCTTTTTTAGAGGGATAGAATTGTTGGCAGGATGAGTAAAGTCTATAATAATCACAAATGATATATGTAACCAAAGGCACTAACAAAACTTCTCTTAACAGCTTGGGAGAAGTTTGGACACAGAAAGCAGGCCTGGTAATGATAAATGTGATAATCATGTCCTACCAACTAACATCCCACCTTACCCTGCCGCATCCTCCCACCATTTAGGTGGGAAGATCAGATAAGTTAAACGAAGAAGGCATAAAATAGAAAGTGATACAAAAAGTAGATCAAGAGATTTCTCACCTTCATGATTTTTGCATATGGATGTTTACCAGTAGCCAACTGGCATTCATCAAGGATCATTAAGATCACTATATCCAAAGTCAAGATGTCCTTCCGTAAAGCATCCAATAAAATTTGAGGAGTCATAACCAAAATCTATTCAAAGCATAAAGTTTCCGTAAGCCTTGTGCGAAGATGTTAATAACAAGGATCAAAAGCTCTAGCAGATCAACAATCTGGATAATGGTTTGACACATTGAATTAACATTGTAATAGTGTTATGCGTTACACATATGGAGTTCGCAATTCAGTAACTTTACACACAAGTTTTCAGACGTATGAAAGATGTTCTGAAGAAAAAGTTTAAGAATAAGTCAAAAATATATGAAAGAGAATTCCAGCTAATAAGGCTCCTGATCAAGTGAAGAACTCTTGGACCAGCTTCAGAGGAATAATTTCATGCCTCACCATCACTGGTCGTAAATAAGCAATCGAATTATTGGGCTCAATTTTGACCATTATAACCAGGTTAGACTAGAGTGCAACAAAAAGCATAAGCACTCTTCAGAAACTGATTACTAAAACCAATTAATAAGCAAAGCAATTTCGGGAATTACAACAGTTATCCAAATGATAAACTGTACAATGCATAAGCATGTTCAACTTACATCATGTGCATTGATTAAGTCCTCCCATGTTTCCCTTCTCCAATCGTCAACCCCTTTAGCCCCAAAAATCTCATCCACACGGAGCGTTGTCAGACTTTTTATGACCTTGCATTGCTGCCACGCATTGAGAAGAGGAGAAAAGCAATTACAAACCATCACAAGTTAGTTCTTCAAAGGCTTTCAAATAAATTTTCCTAGTTAAGAAGAAAGAATGGCAATCAAGCAAATCACCAAATGCTAGCTGTGAAAATAGGCATTCAAGCTTATATTTGCCAAAAAACTATCACTCTTCTTATGCAATTTATTTCAGTAGGATTTCTTTCTCCTAGATAACTACCATAGGCTCCAGTTGCAAAAGTTTCTTCAGCTGAAGGAATCACAAGGTGCAGGGTACCAACTACTTAAAGGACTAGCATCAATAATCAGCAGCAGTAACGACGAATGGAAAACCAAAAGGGCAATCATTTAATAGGATTCAAACAGCAAACTTTCCTGACTTGGGGTAAGAAAAATTTCTAATCGTAACTGCAAAATATTAAGGCCAAAAGATATGATAAAATTGATGGAATAAGGGGGGGATACCTGCTGAACAAGGTTGACACTAGGAGCCAAGTAAATAATTATTTTATTTACACCATTATTGCCAAGTGACTGGCCAAACTCATTGATCATCATCTCAACAATCATCGTCTTCTCTACACCAGCTTCCAACACCACAATTGTATTTTCTCTCCTTGCCACTTCAAGTATCTTAACTTGATCACTGCAACAATGCATTAAAACCATTCAAAGATCATAACCATCATGCAATGCAGTTAAAAAGAACTGGTCCGAATTTAGAAAAATAAAAAACCCAGTAAGCAGAAAACTTACTCTCCAGATATAAAGCTTCGATCTTTGTCAACATCCATAGCTGCAGAAGCTATTTCAGGCTTGGAATTCATGTCATCGAAGCTTCTTTTTAGTGGGTTCTTCATCATATCCTCCTCGTCGGAACCCATTATTCGTAAATTCCTAATGCACAACTTCGATCGAATTATGCACAAAAGAATAAAGCTGGAAAGCTGAAAGTTAATTTCCACCCAAAGATTCTGTGTCACTCTCTAATCTCTCTACAGGGGATTCATTTTACTTTTTTGTATGAAGGGATGGAGAAAGGTCCCCAACAACGGCGTTGTGATTGTGATCAATCAAGAGTTCCAATTTAATTAGATAATAAATCCTTTCAGTTCTTCAATACAAAAGTCTAGAATTTTGTTCCTCCATTAAATTGCGTCGCTGAAAGGGCTTTTTGCCGAGTTTCATGTGGTTTTGGAAGCATCCCAACTGGGCTTTAGTAATTACTAGATGCTACCCGTGCAACGCACGGGGTAGAAATATCGCAATTTAAATAAGTATAATGAAATAAACAAATGTTTGGAAAAATGTATATGATACAGATTTCAAACATCGTTAATCATGAATCAATTAGTGTTCAAAAAATGCAGTTAGTGTTTAAATAATGTAGTACATAAGGAATAGAGTCCTCCCTCCATTCCAAAATAAGTGTCATTCTACACTTTGCACATAGTTTAAGAAACTCTTAAATAGGGTAATAAAATTACTTGAATATCCTCAACCAACCCCATTATAAAATTATCCATCAATAGCATCAACTCTTTTGAGGGTATTTTTGGAAACTTTTGACAAAAAGTGCATTGAAACGTAAGAACGACACTTATTTTGGAATTTCTTTATTTTACTAAAATGACACTTATTTTGAAATGGAGGGAGTAATATTCAAATACATTGTGTGACTTTATTTGGACACCAAATTAAAAAATTATTAGAAAACAAAACTTTTTAAATTTGAATTACATATACCATAAATTTAAACACTTTTTTGTAACAACATTTATAGTTTGTTTCTCACATCACCGTTTTGATCACATAATATTACTTTAATTCATTGTATTGAAATAACCGATTCATGACCAAATACGAAACGTGATACATATAATCTAACTCGGACTGGACCTCACTTTCATTTATCGTCATTGATAAACAAATGACAAAAAAATTTGTCTTCATTTTGTACTGAACCGCAATTTCAAATTTCATTTCAATTTTATACAATGTTCAACTATACAGCTAGACCATTTTTGGATGGAGATATCTTTTTAATTCCTTCAGTCTCACGCTAAAATTCTCCCATCTGCCCATTACTTGAAGATCTTTACCAATCTATTGCAGCGCACTATAACCATTATCCTCTTGAAAGTTGTAAGTCAAGTGGTAATTGAGGTGAAAACACCAAAATAACCTCCTCGTGCCTTTGGGGAAAAAAACAACAATTACCTCTCGTTGCCTTCTTCCTTTGTTTGCTTTTAGTTTAAAGTACTAATCTTGAGTGACCTGAAATCATGGTAGATTAATGCAAACTGTAAAAGCTTTTTCTTAAAAAAAATAAAAATCAGTAAAATCAAGTTACATATTCCTAATTAATTATGTCATAGAGAAAATTAGCAATAATAATAGGTCTATACTTTTAAGGAGAAAGTTTGTGTAAATTAGTATGTGATAAAAAAGAAAAAATTAAAATCAAATCTTGAAGAAAAAATGCAACATTCAATCCAAATAACCTACCCGATTCGAAGTATGATAATGTACTACACAAACACAAACTAATGAGGAACAAAAGCGACATTAAACTATAACATAGTAGTGTCTGGAAACCGAGAGTGTACTCTGAAAGCCCCTCTATTGAAAATTTAACCTGCGAGAAAAGAAGAAAAAAAAAATTCAATCTAGACTATATTAATTGAAACAATGAAACGAAATAGGGAAATACTACTACATTTGATCGAATTGATTATGTTGAGATCTTCTATGCTAATGAAGTAGAAAACATGCTGGAAGAAGAAAAAAGATAAAAATGATGATAAAAATGAAACATAATCACCACGAGTGTTTGTATTTTTTTATAAACTTTTTTCATCAATAATTCAAATCCCCAAAATTTCTCAAAAGATAAGGAATACAAATCTCTCATGAGAATCTATTTGAAATTCTTTCTGTTGTATCTCTTTCATTAGTTCAATATATTTATTTTAATATTTCAATATTAAGTAAATTTTGAGATATATAAGAGAGATTTTAGGGATTATATTTCATAGTTACCAACATCCATCTTTTTTTCAATTTTCAAAATCAAATTTTTAACCAAAGATATAATGTTTTTTTTTCCTTTTTTAATAAATAAAAAATAGAGAAAATTGTCAGTCCTATGTGTCAAGTGAAAAACTATTCCAGTTTCCTCTCTCTGGCTTTTCTATTATTATATTATATAGATAGATATTTTTCTTGAATTAGATACACGATAATATATACTCCGTAATATTGTTGGGCCGTTTGTAAAGTTATTAGGATTGATCCTTTAGATAATCAAAGATGAATATTAATAATTTAATAATTCTTTTTTCATGAACGGATCCAATCATCACTCAAAAGAAATCACTAAACGGGGTAATGATTAATCACAATTTTCTGTTGTTCAATGAAACCATGCTTGGAACCTCAATTTTTTTAAAAAAAATTTGTAGAGTTATTAATTTATCAATAACTTAATAATTATTAATTTATTCATAATTTAATTTAAAGATTTCTCTTCAATCTCATTTATTAAAAAAATAAACATTTATTATTTTTATATCAAGAAATGTTGGTTGCAACCTTATTTACGTTATTATAATTTTTAATTAAACAAAAAGACGATAATTTCCAACATCAATAAAATACTTTTTTTTAAGAGAACTAGCACTTTACTTGGCGGGCATCTCCCGATTTTATTAATATAAAAAGAAAGAGTACAAGAGGCACTGTTTAAGACTTACCCAAAGAAAATAACCGTCTTACAATGATTTTCTAAAATCCTATGATGGTTCTGGTATAAGTTAACGCTAAGAACTGTCTTACAAAGATTCGTGCTATGATTCCCTGACAGTTCTATTTTTAACTCTAAAAGTAAATGAAACTATTCTAAGAGTCTTGTTTTCCAAAACACCAAAATTGGAGACAATTACAACTCTCCTTTCGACAATGACATTATGGAATTTTGAACAAATTCTTTCTAAACAATCTTGAATCTTATTTCCCTGAACAATATAAAAGTTTAAAAGTATAGCACAATTATAAAAATTAAATCTTATTACGTGCATAATATAAACCATTCAAGCTATATAAATTTACCTTTTCATCAATAAATATCAATTCAACATAAAAGAAATAGTTCGGATTTTTAAACATTGGGGCTTCCAAAACTTAATGATACGAACTTTTAATCCGTAGTTATCTATCATTGGAATCACATCTTCAATGAAATTGTATAAATCTTCTATCATGAGACTCATAAATTAAACATGAATGTCTATGTAAGTAGCTTTAAAATCATGAATTTGTAATATGTATTGCACATCACAAAGTTAAAATTTGAAGAAAATCTTACTTTATTCTCCTTTGGAATAAATCTTGTGACTAAATGCCAATGATGAACCTTCACATACAACACACTTAAATAGTTTTAAATTAAGAAACGAAAAATAATTTTTAGAGGTTTGACTATAAATTAGGCACAATAAACAATACTACAAATATTTGGTCATTTATTATTTGTTCATCATTATTGAATTTAGATTTAATGAAAACCACATAATGACAACATAAATTTGACGAATATTTATGAAAATTGACCAAAAATACTAATACTTCACCCTAAATGGTCAAATATGTTTTGATTCTTTATTGTGCCTAATCTATAGTCAAATTGTTGAAATATATTTTTCCCATGTTGATTGCACTTTTTTCATGAATATTTACGGTTCAACTCATTGATATTGTTATTCCCAATGTTGACAAGACATTAGAACTTTTAAAAATATTGTATAAATTATTACCTTGTTTTTATTAAAAATGCTTCTTCATTGTCGATTAGAAGAGTCTTTGACCAAAAATAATCAAAGAAAATAGAAGTGGCCAAAAATAGTTTATGAATAGGGAAGTGACCAAAGCTATGAATACCAAATTTCTGAAATTCAATTTTAATCTTGGTTATGAATGAAAATTGGATTTTCGAAATCCGATATCAATCAAAAAATGATATATTTTTTTTTACATAAAGTGATACTTACTTCAAATTTTTGAACTCTACGTTCATTCTTCATATTTCTTTACCATCCTTTTGATAGCGAAGAATATCACTTTTCCCAACTATTTTGCCAACAACATCTACTCGGGTAAATAAAAAGTGATATATTAAATTGTAAAATCTGTAAATATTATTTTAAACCCTAAACATCTCGGGTAAGTAAATCCAATTGAACAATATGATAATACGCTGAAATTATATTTTTACCAACTGTAGTATTGGCCTTAATACTACCATTTATTATATGATCAAGTGACCATGAAGAGATATAGAATCCACGTTATTGTAAGATTTCGCAATGGTTGTTGGCTTGATTTCGATATGATAGGGATATTCAACAATTTTATATTTTGCATTGCTTTCCAAAACTCCAAATTTAAAAAGGAATAAAATTTCACTTTCAACGATGAGATTTTGAAATCTGGTTATCAATTTTCTTCCTCGATAAAGCTTGAATCTTACTTCTCTGCAAAAGTACAAAGCGGTTCAAAATATCGAACAATTTCGATAATATTATCACATGACGTATAATAATATTAACTGATGAATATACATTAATTTATCTTTTCATCAATAAATATCATTTCAACAAAAAAAAGAAGAAATTGTTCAGATAAATATTGGAGGCTTCCAAATGTGAATGATGCGAACTTTCACATTGCAATCATTTTTCAAAAGACTCACATCTCCAACGAAATTGTATGAGTCTTCCACCTGAAAACATAAATTAAACTGAAAATATCAATCAACTTAACTTTTAAATCATGAATTTGTAATATGTAATGTATATTACAACAATGGCAATATAACTAAAATCTTACTAATCTCATTTAGAACAAATTTTGTCTTGAGACTCAATGTTTATGATGAACATCAATATATTGAATGCTTAAATAGTGTAAAATCTACATTGGAAAATGAATTTCAAAAGTTTGACATATACTTAAGTTATATTTCAAATGTTAAACATGTTTGACCAATTACGAAAACCATATAATGATAACAGAAATCAATGATGGATAATAATGAAATTAACAAAAACATTAATACTTTATATAATTCAAGACAAAAATTATTTCACTTTGAAAAATATTTCATAGAACAATGACATTTACTTTATTAAAAATGTGTAGTCAATACTAATGTCAATGAATTTAACAATAAATATTGATGAAAAAAGTACATTTAACACTGGAAATACAATTTTCAATATTTGACCATAAATATTGTACAACGAACAATGCAAAAAATTTTTGGCCAATCTAGAATTTATGATTTAGACATTAATTATTTTTAGCGAAAAGAGACACTTTCCAACAACCTAACTTCGTACATTTTGGGGGGAAAACTACGTCATCTTGACACGTGTACTTTTTAGGCGGGAAACCGCTTTAGGAGGTTACTGTTATAGTAGTATATCTTGATACTAACTTACGCATAATTTAATTTCTTATTTAAGCCTCTTTTTAATATAATTTTAGGATACATTCCATGGTGCGTTTACAGCCACTATATGACTGCAAGAGGGCTCATCTCTTTTTCTAAAATCTGTCAAAATGATTGTGGTCGGTTTATGTAAAAACGAGTTTACAAACGTAAAGCAGTTATAAAATTAGGGTTTAATACAATGATTCAAAGCAAAGGTACTAATTATTAATTTTAGTGACACTATTTTTAACTTATATACTAGAGACTTTAATTTTATAACCTTTTAATAATTTAATTACATTATGATATAACTTGTAAAATTTATAGAGAGAGAAAGAAATTTATTTTGTAAACTGAAAACATGAAGAAGTAGAAAGGAGGAAGAAAGTAGGTTTCAGTACAAAATTTTCATTGCATGTGCATTCATATTTATAAAAAAATTTGGTAGAAAATATGCCTCAATTTTCCTACTCCACATATAATGTAACTATTCTAGTGGGTGAATGTTTTTTATTCTTTTTGGCATTTATTTATTTACAACACTCTCTCTTGACCGACAAAATAAATTACGCTAGTAATACTGTCTCATTAAAATCTTGCTAAATAAAAAATCCAGTGGAAAAAAGAGTGCAATGCGTAATATTCTCCCCTGATGGTAACATTGGTAGTTCCTCAAATGCAGTGTAAATGCCATGTTTCGATGGTATGAATATGTTTTCTGAAAAATATTGTAGGAAGTGACTTTATGAAAGATCAGTTGAGTTTTTGCTAGATATGACATATTGAATATCAATCTCATTATTTTAATGAGTTCTTTGGTATATGCGAAGAACTCGAAGGTATATGTTTTGTCTGGTCATTCTTGATATATCCTGTCATGATACTAAAATTTTGACGTGCTTCAAGAGTTAATTAAATAAATAAGAGGACAAGAATAAAACAAGACATGAAATGTGGTTTTATAAATTGGATCTAAATCGCATTAGTAATATTTCATATGCAGAATTTATTTGTAATGTTAATACTCTTAATAAACAATTAAATAAATAAAAAAACAAGGATTATCTGATAACTTTGGTTAAAAGATTGTAGGATTTAGGATGATGGGAGAGAAATGTTGTTCATAGAAATAATTAAATAACTACTATATTAACAAACAAGTTAAATTGTCTAGTTAAAATTCGAACGTAATGTTTAGGCAGGTCAGACTGCGCAACTTTAGTAAAATAATCATAACTCACTATAGGAAATTCTAAATGATGATGCGGTTATTTCATATTAAACTAGACTCAGATTTCTAACGATCTATAGCAAACGGAACAAAGCTTCCTGGATATATACAATTTAATTTATCAAAATCGACTGAATTGACTGAAAGTATATTCTTTTAATTTATTGTTAAAAGTTTTAAAGTTAAGTCATGTCCTTTATTTTATGGAAAATCTCTGTCCACTAACTCTTTCAAACAAGAAGCTCATCGAGTCTTCTAAGTTTATCCAGCAGTATAGCAAGTTTATCAATATTCAAAACTTGCATTAGAAATTTTAACAAACCCATTTTATATTTATTACTTCCACCACCACAAATCTATGTTTCTTTAAAAAAAAAAAACTTGAAACAAAAGCTAATCCAGCTCCTCCCCTAGTCGGTCACCGCCCAATGTTGCGTTCTTTTAAAGTCAACTTTAGTTTGGATTAGCATAAATTACACGAATCCATTTAGGGTGTGTTCGGCTACATGTTTTTGGGATTCAATTGGTATTAGAATATTTTGGAATTCAATTGGCATTCAAGATATTTTAATTCAATGTCAATTTATCCGTTCAACAAAATCATGGAATTGGCCACAAATTCAATTAGGATTCCAAATTCTCTGTTCGGATAGTCAAGTAATTGAGTTAGTTTTGTCTTTTACTTATTTTTTACAAAAATAAAGAAAAAAGAAAAAAATTGATTTTGAAATTATTTCAACTTTTAATTTTTGTTTTAAATAGTATCATTTCTAGAATAATATATTTTGTTTTAAATAGTATCATTTCTAAAATAATATATTTTGTTTTAAATAGTAACTTTTCATTCTATCATAAAATTATAACAATAATAATGCTTACCCACTGGAACAGAGGCAGCAGAAGAGAACAAACTTTACTCTTCTCACCATCCCGAGTATTGTACTAATATCGAACTGTAATGTGAAACAAGAAAGCAGCTCTGTGGTAAGGTGGACTTGAACAAATAATGTGTCTGGATGATTCTTCAAATAACAGTTTTCTCATAAACATATTACTTTTGAAAAAAAAAAAAGGGGAAGGCAGCATGATCTCCCCCGCTCAGATGAAACAGTCACGAAACAAGAAACTAAAAAGAGAATGTTCAATCTCTACTTAGGAATTGTCTAACACCACTTGAAACATCAAACACAAACTGCAACCAAGTTATGAGAGCAACATTTGGATCTATAGGCAGTTCTTAAACTACTCTTGGGCATGCTCTGGTGGTGTCCAGCTTCAACAGAGTCAGCTTATATTTCATTTCCAATAAGTCTTTCATGTCTTCATTATCAACGACCATCGTCCACTTCCCATCAGCTCCAACGTGGTAAGCTTAAAATGAAGATTGAAATAAACTCATCAAGGCGGGGTGCAACAAACATATAACAGAGTAACCGTTTGGACCATTTTTTTAGTTTTTGTATTGGGAACTATGTAACAAGCTGATTAAACAACTTGAAAAGAAAAATTACAAAAACTCTTTACTGTGTGAAACCAAACACATGGTTGACAAACCATACCACTAGCAAAACCGCAGTACTCTTTAGCTCCCATTGCACCCATGCAAATCGCCCTTCTACCAACTTCTATAGCTTCATCAATGGACATATCGTGACTACCACTAGAAAAGCAAGGATTGACTGAAAAATAGGATGACTAAAATGACTATAAAGTGAAACAACAAAACCACTAGCTGATCATATCAAATTCAAAACAAGCACAAGGAAAATGGGGCATACCATAACTGCATAAAGCCAAAAGCAAGATCATGACTAGACCCAACGGCAAAACCATTCCCTTGAAGTACTTCCCCCTTCCCATTCACATGATACAGAACAGGAACCTACAAGAAGCCATAAACTCATTGTTTTTCTTACATAAAGTGAGGTTTCAGGTCAACCTAAAATCAGATGGCAAATAAAGAGTGCTGTAATGATTATCCCTTCATCCCACCCAGCAATCAGTACTCCAATTGGCAAACCTTCAGAGTCCTTAGTGACATTAGAAGAAGACAGGGTGCTGGCCACCCTCGTGGTTGCCTCATCGACAGATATTCCTCCTGCAATCTAGCATGTACATGAAAGTAATCGTTATGTTGTTTCAGGAATATGAGAATAACAAATCTATCAACGAAAATTAAAGTTGCACCATGTTTTCCTCAATCTAAGAGCTAAATACTAATATTTCTCCAAACAATCAAGACCGAAGTAGTATTGTTATAAGATATAAATATAATGCAGAATAGTGAAGGGACATGGCAATAGTTACCTCCTCCCTTTGCAATTTCTCCAGAAACAATGACAACCAAGCGATCACTAACTTTAATAAGGTTATCAACACTGCCTCCTAATAAACCAAAGAGTTAATCAGTACCAAAACTAAAACATTAAACTATGGACAAACATCTGAATTTTCAAACAGTAGTTAAAAAAACTCACGTGGATGGTCAGCAGCTACGATAAGCCCATGTTTGAAAGTAAAAGCTAGGGCTATGATCCCTTTCTTTTCCTTATCAGCAGGAACACAAATCTACCACCCAGAATAAAGATCCCCTTCTTTTCCTTATAATAGCATAAAGATCACCACCAAATAAGTCCATTTTGAGAACAGAGGAACATCTTTTGCACAACCCAAAGTACGAGCATTCAGTATCGCTAACAAACCAGCATCATTATCAAACAGTAAACCAAAATCAAGACAGGGCTCATCAATACTAGCAACATCAACAAGGCATTTAATTCCATAAAATTCAGATTTTTTCACTCCATTGGTTTAACATAAATTTCCCCGGAAGATTTAAATCCTCTAATGTTTTTGCAATCATAAGAACATACTCATTGTCCCCATTTTTCAGTATACACTCCTAAAGAGTAACACAAGTAACACGAAAGGTGCAATTCTCAATCAATGTAGCTCTTGGGAGCTCATATTTCATTGCAGGTAAAACACAAGTTGCCCAGGAATTTCCCACCTTATTAAATAATTTCACAGCTTCATGGATTTTGAAAATTCCAAACAAATCATCTCTTTGAGAAATATTGTCGCAATCAAGCTGCAGGTTTCTGTCAACTAGATTATGTGTAACCATTTTACCAGGGTCAATTGCAAAAATACTCGGACGACTTCCATTATAAAAATGACTTAGCAAACTATCATCAACTTCCACTAATTGCACTAAATGATTCAATTGGATTCAAAAGTCCACAGAAAATCCACAAAATACACAGAAGATGTGATCCCTTTACACATACACGGACTGTGAAGTACAAATGACATCTTCACGGCATCAAAACAGAAACAAAAGCCAAAAAAACTTAGCATGACAAAAAAAGAACGTTCATTTCCAATAACAACGAAGTAACAGTGGCCATGAATAATACAATCAATCCAAAGCAATCAAACAAAAACCCTGATCAAAATATATTGTGGAATTAAGTTCAACATACCCTTTAGAGCAGTAAATTGAAACCCAGTTCTCGAGAACTTCCCCAGTGAAATGCACACAAAATGATGATGATGATAACTTAAAAAGGGATACGAAATATAAACACACTGTATGGAAAAGATGATGGCTACCCAATAAACCTTTGCCAAAAATAGGAAAAAAAAGGAAATTATATAAAAAAAACTAAACTCATGAACCAGAGAGGACATCTCCAAACAACAAACATCAGAAAATGAGTTGAATCGAAGATCTTTTGCTTAGATCTATACTAGAACTTAATCTATCCCTCAAATCATCGGAACCCAAAATTCAGAAGGAAGAAAAGAAAAGGAAGGAGAAGAAGAAAACATACAATATGGTAGCCAAAGCCGCTGCGGTGACGGAGATTATGCTCCGGCAATTCCTCACCGCCGTTCAGTATCAACAACTTTGTGTTGTGTTTCTTGTACTCTTGAAGTCGAACCCTCCACCGCCGCCCTTGTTCTCTCCAAGTACCCTCCCTATTCGCCTCCGCCGCCGACTCCTGCTCCTTCAGTCTTCTGTTCTTCTCCTTCCTCCTCCGACGACAATGAATCTGTTTCCCTCCAAATCACGCGTTCTGAAACAGGATGTGTTTTATTTTCTTTGCCTCTTGTTATTGCTATTAATCACGCGTTCTGAAACAAGTTGAGAGCTATTCAGATTGAATTGATAGATGAGATATTTTTGTGATTTATTCATCAATCTTAAATGGGCTAGCTGTAAAATTGAGATGGAAAAGTTTATCTCGTCGATGAGAGGAGAAGAAAAAGAAAAATAACAAATTAGGCCATAAAAAAATTTAAGAGATCCGAATAGCTTATAACCCGGTATTGACCCGATAATAACCCGTGTACTGTTCAACTCCATGAGAGTTTGGAATCCCAAATAATAGTTTCAAGCCTGGAATTAAAATCATGGCATTGGAAGCCTTTTGGCATTGGGCCAATGCCAATGCCATCTTATTTTTAGACAGCCGAACACCGAATTTGGCATTGGGGGCTCAAATTCCAAATCCAACCCTCAATGCCATGCAAAGGAACAAAGCCTTACTCTTCATTCTCTCCTCAAGAAAATCATCGCATCATCACCGAACCTTCCTTTCTTCCACAAAGTTGCTACTGATGTCCTAAACTCCAAACCTTTAGAAGATACGAGTCCATACTGGAATAAAATAGGAGCTAAAGAGAGCTTGGGGAGATAGCAATTGAAGATTAGTGAGCCTATCAACCTCATCATCATGTCGAAATGAAGCAAACCCTCATCATCCTTGTTTTCTATTCAACACCATGTCGAATTGAAGTAAACCCTTTACCTTTTCAGCTTGTACTGTTAGCAAAGAACCCATTTAAACATTATTGAGGTTGCTAAATCGAAAGAAAGAAAAGAGAAGTGAGGACGGGAGGACAGAATCCAAGGAGGGCAAAAGAAATCTTGATATTCAATTCGAACGTTGTCGGAAGTCGTTGTGGTGTACATAGGTAACTACTACTGCCTTTTTTGCTTCGTGACCGTCTTTGCTTATTAACTTCAAGTAGCAAGTTATTAGCCGTCCATAAGATTCAAGCAAAAGAAAGTAAGAGAAAACTTAAAGCTCTAGGAAACTTTGATCGAATTCATTTTTTTTAAATATAAATAAACATTGGCCATCAACAAATGAATCTGTTTTAGCAAAGTACATCTAGTTACACGAAAGAGTCTGATCATATATTTGTCCTTATAAACAGATCCTTAATTTTCTGAATTATAAGATTAAGATATCAACTCAGAGCCATTGAAATTGCTAGATTGAAAGAAGGAAACGTAGGCTTAAACAGCTAGTGTTTCAGCACCCTAAAGCATATATACTAACTATGTTCATTCGGATTCAAATCGCAAGTATGGAGACAGAAGTTGTACTCATAAACTAATCAACCAAGTATTATTAACTGACCACAAACCCTTAGCTCCCAATCACAACACTTGAACATCTAATCAAATAATGTGTTAATTTTAATTAATAAATTCCAAGAGTAATATCTAAATAAAATCCCTCTCTTAGAATATGACAAAAAGGGAATGTACAAATGCACTTGAGGAACTAATATAACAACCAGACAAGACTAAGTCAACCCAAACATAAATAAACAAATAAATAGAATGAGGAAAGGAACCATTTAGGAGATGTGTCAATCCCGCTCCACTTAAATAGTGTAGTGACATGTCATAGTTATGTGCAGGAAAAGACAGCTCAATCACCACATCACTGTCTTACAAATTAGGTGAGTAATCTTCACTCTTTTAAAAGTATTTTCAAAACTGGGAGTATGGTATATTCAAAAGTCAATACACACATGAGCAATGGTAAATGTTATTGAAATATTGTAAATGCATGTCGTTAAATGACTCGGTGGTGTACTTAACCATCCCGGGATAAGTGTTATAAGTGTTATCATTGAAAGGATTATTGTGTGTATTATTCACATGATACATTGTGGTATTTATAGTACAATAGTGTAACAACTCTAGCCGTCTACATGGAAAATCCTAATTAGGGTTTCGATTATTTCCATAGTCTATCATCGCCCTGCAATCGTAGCAGGAGAAGTAATCATGCCTAGATTGGTTCTAAACAGATACAATTTATCCTTAGGTAAAGATTTGGTAAAGGCATCTGCCAGCTGGGATTGTGAGGAAATATGGAGGACCCATAGAAGACCAGCAGCAACACGTTCACGAACAAAATGAATGTCTAGACCAATATGTTTGGTGCGAGCATGATTAACCAGATTTGCAGCTAGGTATGTAGCAGAAACATTATCACACAAGATGACCGGGCGATGTGAGAGCTTGACTTGAAGTTCAGACAGAAGATTCTCCAACAAGACGGATTCAGCCAATGCAGAGGCAACAGCACGATACTCAGACTCAGCAGAAGATCGAGACACAGTGGATTGTTTCTTCGAAGACCAGGAAACTAATGAGGAACCCAGAAAAACACAAAAACTAGTCGTAGAGCGGCGAGTAGTAGGGCATCCAGCCCAATCAACATCGGAATATGTAACAAGGCGATCAAGGGTGCCAGCACGGAGATGTGTACCATAGTGAAGTGTGCCCTTAATGTAACGGAGAATGCGTTTGACCGCTTGAAAGTGCTGCTCACGAGGATCATGCATATGTTGACAGACAAGATTAACCGCATACTGAATATCTAGTCTAGTGAAAGTAAGATAATGTAATGCACCCACCAAGCTCCGATAGAGAGTCGGATTGTGAAAAGGCGGAGACTCATCAACCGAAAATTGAAAAGCCGGAGCAAGTGGAGTTGCAACTGGATTGGCATCGGTGAGATGACTGCGAGCAAGCAACTCCTCAGCATACTTGCGTTGGTGTAAAAACCAACCACCAGAATGAGGAGCAACAGAAATACCAAGGAAATAGCTGATTGGACCAAGATCCGTCATTACGAAAGCTCCTTTCAGCGACTGAATAATAGTAGTGAGGAGATGATTGCTGGAAGCTGTCAAGAGAATGTCATCAACATAAAGTAGCAAAACAACCATATCCGATCCAGAAGAATACACAAACATGGAAGTGTCCGAGCGACTGCCTTTAAAACCCTGTGTAAGTAGAAAAGCAGTGAAACGATGAAACCAAGCTCTGGGAGCTTGCTTTAAGCCATAAAGGGCTTTGTTCAACCGACAGACATAGTGAGGATGGTCTGGATGAACAAAACCAGTAGGCTGTTTCATATAGACAATTTCATTAAGATGACCATGCAAAAACGCATTTTTTACGTCCAACTGATGAATGGGCCATTTTCGAGAAGCAGCAATACTTAAGACAGTCCAAATTGTCACAGCTTTAACCACCGGACTAAACGTTTGGTCATAATCAAGTCCAGGCTGCTGACTGTAGCCCTGGAGCTACCAAACGTGCCTTACATCGATCAAGAGAGCCATCAGATTTTAACTTGACTCGAAAAATCCATTTGGAGCTGATAATATTGGCAGAAACAGGGGGAGGGACTAAATCCATGTATGATTAGTGAGGAGAGCATTAAATTCATCATTCATAGCGGCACGCCATTCAGGGTATTTATTTGCTTCAGTAAAGAATTTTGGTTCAGTAGGGAGTGAAGAGGATGTAGTAGTGGTAGTAAGAGAGAGTATCTGTTTAGGTTTATGAGTACCATCACGAGTTCTAGTGACCATATGATGAATAGGGGGATTCAAAATAGGAGGATTCGAAGTATGTGACAATGAAATGGAAGATGTGGGTGCAGATACTAAAGGAACGGATGACACATGTTTTTGTGAAGGAGAAGCAACCAATGGAGAGGATTTTGATGAAGGGAGGGATCGTGAAATAAGGAACGAGGGATATTTAAAAGGAGATTGGGGAGGATTGTTTTGGGGAACTGAAGAGAGTTGAGGAAATAGAAAAGAGGTTTCATAAAAAATAACATGACGGGAAGTATAGACTTTCTTAGAAGCGGTATCAAAACAGCGATAGCCCTTATAAGATTCAGGATAACCAAGAAAGACACATGGAGTGGAGCGAGGATGGAGCTTATGAGAAGCTAAATGAGAAAGATTGGGAAAACAGGAACACCCAAAAACCCTTAAGGAACCATAGTTAGGGGGATGACCAAAAAGAAGGGAGAAAGGATTGGCCCCATTTTTTGATTTAGTAGGTAAACGATTTAACAGATAGACACTAGTATGTAAAGCCTCTACCCAGAATGCATTTGGTAAGTGAGCTTGATGCAGAAGCGTGCGGATCATATTGATGAGTGTTTTATTCATGCCCTCAGCCTTGCCGTTTTGTTGAGGAGTGTACAGACAAGAGATACGCATTGTGATCCCCTTAGCTTTAAGAAAAGATTGAAGATAATGAGAATGAACATATTCAACTGCACCGTCAGATTGAAGAGTTTTGATGGAAGCATGGAATTGAGTTTGAACAAGAGTATAAAAGTCAACAAACTTTTGAGGAACCTCGGATTTATGTTTAAGAGGATACACCCATAAATAATGAGTGAAATCATCAAGAAAGAGTACAAAATACTTGAAACCACTAAAGGAATGACATGGAGAGGTCCAAACATCTGTATGTATAATATCAAAAGCACTAAAAGTAACCGAAGAAGAAGGCATAAAAGGGAGCTTATGATACTTCCCAATTTGACAAGCCTGACAAAGACAAAGTTTATTTGAAGAGATCACAGAACCAAGAAGACTTCGACTGGACACTAAACTGGACAAAACAGAGGCATTCGAGTGACCAAGGCGTTGATGCCATAATTGAGAAGAGATGGAAGCAGCAAACACCGGACAAGACGGAGAAGACGGTGCAAGGGATGGATGGAGCAGTGAGGGCTGAAATGTATAAAGGGAACCAGTACTATTGCAACATAGACGAGGGGTCCTCGTCCAAAGATCCTTCACAGAAAAACCAAAAGGGTCAAACTCAACAGAGCATTGATTTTCAGTGAAAAATTGACGCACAGAGATTAGATTTTTTGTAAGAGAAGGAACATGCAAAACATTAGGGAAACGAAACTGAGAACAAGAGAGTTGACCAACGGATTGAATAGGTAAAGAATGACCATTACCAATAATGACTCGAGTAGAACCAGTATAAGGTTTTGAATTAGTGAGAGTACCTTGAGAAGGAGTCATAGTGTTACCACAAGCAATGTCCATATACCAGGAGGAATCAACAGATGGGGGAATAGAAGGCCGATTATTGTGACCCACAAAGTAAGCGGACTGTTGAAATGATAGCAATCTCGAGCAGAGTGATTGAATTGATTGCACAGTTGGCAATGAACAGCAGCGGGATTGGACTGAAAAGAAGGAGCCGAACCAAGGAGAGAGGGAGCACGTTGCCTGGGAGTAAACATAGGAGTTGTATAAGAAAAAGGTGCAGAAAATGAGGAAGGATACTGACCAAAAAATTGGTTACGTCCACGCCCAC